TTATATTATATTATATTATATTATATTATATTATATTATATTATATTTGCATTTATGCTTACTTACAGCTCAAGTTGTGATCCAGATACTGACATCAGATTGCTGGTGAGTAGCTATTTTTATCAAAATATATGTTGTTCTGTTGTTAAATTGATTAAGGGCCATCAAATTGGTGTCAACTCTTAGTAACCACATAAACAGATTTTCTCCACGGTGATCTATCCCCAGTTTGGTCCTTCAGCTCTTCCAATGGTGCATCTATCACAGCTGTAATGGAATCCATCCACATTGCAGCTCGTTGCCCTTTTTTATTCTTTCACCTTCTTCAGCATTAGAGCCTCCTCCAGCGAGCTAGATCTTCACATTCTCTGAAATAGGATAATTTGAGTTTAGTCATTCGTGTGCCTTAAATAAGAACCCTGGAATGATTTGTTCTATTATACCTCTGATTGTTTTCTTGACTATCCATAACATTGCCAATAATCTTCTCCAATACCAATATTCAAGCACATCAATACCCTTCCACAGTCATGTCCCATAACAGATGTTATGCTAACTATCCATTACTCCCTGTAACATAATCAAAGCAAACCTGGGTGGAGATATTGTTTGTGTGGAGTTACTGAGATATCTTTGCTCTTTAACTAAAGACTAATATAACATTTCATTTATACCCAATATGAAAGTGATTTTTTTATTAAAATGCTACACATTACTGATTTTTTTAAAATTATTAAAATGCCATCCATTACTGAAACCTCCAGATAGCACATTCCACATACTCTGACAGTTCCTGAATTCTACTAAACAAAAATGCTCCATTTAAAAGAAGCTTGGGACAGTAAATGATTGTTTCAAACCCATATCATCATACAATCTCAGTTAAGGATATATTTGGCAGTACATTGCAAACTATATAAGATTTTTTTAAAACAATCAAATGAACACTGGGGCTGGGCTGGGCTGGGCTGGGCTGGGCTTGGCTGGGGGCAAAAACTTTGTTGGCCAAGAGATATTTAAACCTAATGTGTGGCCATCTAAAATAAACTTCCTTCCACCCCAGAGGTATTTATTTGTACAGAAACCTAAACTGCCAATGGAATCTAGTAATGATGGCTGCATTGCTATATTGAAGGCAGCATACCTCTAAGGAAGAATTTTAAAGAGTGTGGCAAGAAGATGCTAATGCCTCTTCCCACAAGTTTTACATGGGCTTTAGGTTATAATGACAACTAACTGCATATCTCCCATCCTGATTCTAAAGAAGAGCTAAATGTACAAACAAAAAAGAGCAATGTCAGCATGGATAGTAAACTTTTAAGCCAGATTTTTTAGTAAAATTTGCAGATATTTAGTTAGTGCTTAAAATGGAAGTTCTTTACAAGGGCAATCTGGGTAGTGTATTTAAAAGGTGGAGAAAGTTTTGGCCATTATTTTTGACCACATCAATATGCATGACTTCCACCATTTATTTTTTACTTCTTTGTAAAGAAGAATTTTGTCATGCTTTCAAATCTCTTAAAAATTAATGGTATCAACTTTAAGGAGAAAATGGAATTAGACCTTTCTATCTGAGATTTGCAACTTTGTGTTATAAAATCAAGAGAGATCTGCCAAGCATTCTCTCAGAAGTGGACTTTAGATTAGTGAAAATATTCTCAGCCTCAGATTCCTACTTTGATCAAGATTATAATATAGCACAGCAGATACAGGAAAGCATAAAGATTTTTAGCTACTTGCATATCAGTGGGAATCTACATCCAGTCTTGTGGGATAAGGCATCTCAAGGTACTCTACACTTTATTTTTTGTTTTGTTAAACACCCTTTTCTGAAATATGTAGGAAGAGAACAACACTTACTTGTTTCTGTCCTCAAATGGCTTTTTATTTTATTTTTAATTCAATTCTCCAAAACACAACCCTAAACAGGAGAATCTCTCAGTATCGTCAAGTTAACTGCCTTGGGATTCCTTTGATCATCAGCTACTGCATCACTGAGTACTGAGTAGAGCAGCCATGTTATGAGAATGCAGTCTAGTGGCTCCAGATACACTGTAATTGGGCTGCAAGAATTGCTCTCCGTGGTACTGAATTATGAAACTCAGAAAGATGGACACTTGTTACCACCAACCTGTGTTCTGAATCTGCTTACTGCAGACTTGCTTTTGTGGAGCTACCTTCCTTCATCACTTCCTTTGACCTTTGCATTCACTGACTTGAATGACTGAAAAAACAGGATGTAAACTATTCCTCCAAAATACTTTTGACTTTCTTTTGACTCCTGGCAACTGCCTGGACATGACAATGGTTGTTGTTTTTTGACAACATGTTTGCCTTCTTCCTAGGGTTACTGAGTGTACATTAACAAGCCTGCTTTGTGCTTAAGGGAGAATTATGACTGCTAGTTATTTTCTAACCAGATACCTTTAACTATCAGTCTAAACTGACTCTCGTGTAGAATATACTCTGTGTATTATATATATGAAAATGTATGTATATGTCATGGTGAGATTCTGGGGCTAGACAACCAGCATATCAATCCACAGATACATTGCACAATTCTACCTGCTCCCCAACCAATAGTATACAGAACAAACAGAAAATGAAAATTATCTGTGGTGATCTAATTGAGGCTTTGTATCCCTTTCCACACATCCTTCATATGGCAAAGAAGCTGAGAGAGCTTAAAAGGAATAGCAAATATAATGTAGGTGGAGTAGCTCCATTTTGTAGCAACTTTAAACTTGTTTCTATGAGCAGGGGGAGGAAGTGAGAATAACTTTGAAATAACCTTCCATTCTAGGTCTGGACAAATCAAGAGTCACGTTCCAGATCAATTAATTGCAAAAAACATTAATCATGATTTGAGCAAGAATTTGCTTAATATGTCAGCCTGTTTCTAAAAACAACAGCTTAACAGCTAATGACTATATAGAACAATATCCAATAACTTTCAAAAGCTAATTAATCAGGAAGTGAAAGTATTCTCTTTCAGAGAATTACAATTTATAAAGTCCTGTTTTTTATCCAGAGATGTTATAAAATGTTAAACCCCATCATCTCTACCTAGCATGGCCAAACTAAGGAATTCTGAACTAACAATAGTTGGGGGTCAATTCATTGTCAGTTCCTGTCCTAATCACAGCCAAAGCCTAGATGATGCATCACATAAATCTACAGTCTAGGAAATAAATTTCAATTTTAGTTCATATAAAACATTGTGTCATAAATGATTGTTTATAAGCCATAACAGCATGAAGCCTGATCTATATGATTTGTGTTCATTTGAAATATTTGTGTCATGCTTCCCATTAAAAAAACCTTGAATTTACATTACCCTCCTCACCACATGCACGCATATACACAGTACTTGGATTTACAGTAAGCACTAGGAAAAAACATATGCATTCCTCTTCCCTATGGGATTCTGTAATCAAGATGAGATATAAAGGAATAAAAGGGAATCTTTTGGACCTTATTCTTTTCATGTATCATTTCCTATCACTTGTTTGCAAATTAATTAGGAAACAATGCATTTGGAGTGTCAAAAGTGGAGTGTTTTTTGTTTTTTGTTTTGCAATGACTTTAAGCATCCTTCAGATATGTTGGTACCAACTATCAGAATGCCTAGAGAACATGACCAAAGACTGTGCTAACTGGAAATTTTGAAAGAGACAATAATCTGGAAAGCAGCCACAGCAAATCCATAATAATGTCTAGAGAGATATATTTTTATCACATGAATAGAGACTGCAGTATACCCTCCCATCCCAAGATAACTTTATTATGCACATAGATGCACTTTAGGGCCATTTCTTGTTGATATTCTAGATGTGGTTTGTATGATAATTTAACCAAGTGCAGCCCTGCTTGGCAAACACTGGTGCCTGTGACAGATGGCAGTAATTCCAGTAATTCATAAATAGCAATAATTAGGACTATTAATAAACCACTATGTCATGGGGTTCTGTCAGGAAAGTCAGCAAAGCGGTATGACCTTTGTGAGTGCCAAACGCACTTGGAAAGAGAAAACGTTACTCATAAACCAAAACAATTATTTTTTTGTTACAGATTTATCCCCAATGGTAGATCTTGAAACAGAATTGTTCTATGAAATAATTATGTTTTATCTATGATCAGTTGAAAAGAACCATCAAAGCTTGGTTGCTAACACTACTTCACTTATTTCTGAATTATATTATTTTTTTCTTTCTACTTTCTCCTCTGCTCCAAGCACATATGCTGTCTCTGATTCTATTATGAATCCCTGAAAACATATGGAATGTAGCTATCCAGTTGCCCTCTTAGTATGATTTAATTAGGGTGTGTTTTTTTAAAAAGCCATAAATTAATATATATCTTCTTTTTTCTATTTTGCTCCTAATCACTTAAGCCACTTCACATTGAATGGATATTAACAGAATAAGATACCCCAAAAATGATTTTTTAAATTCATGAATATACAACCCTAGAGTCACCTTCAGTTTGTGGCAATATTGGCTGTGAGAGTACTGTCTGTAATACTCCAACACTTTCCGACACTTCAGACTTCTTAGTTGTTTTGTTTAGGACAAAGTGACACATTATTTTAACTTCCTAGGACAATCCTGCTAAAGCCATGAAGTACATTGTGACTATCAGTGAAGAAGGGGATGCATCAGAGGATTCTTTAGCCAACACTTTCTTAAAATAATAAATATAATAAATATACTATACAAATAAACTTGTAACTAGTCCTATTGAACTCCCAAATGAGATCTGGCACTGGTCAATGTAATCACCACCATCACCATCATATCCCAGATCCTTGAGAAGGATTTAATAGGTAGAGAAAATGCCAATCCAGTTTAAGTATCTGGCTGACTGTGTGAACAACCATAGTATAGTTTAACTCTAACTTATCAACTGTGGCAATCTCCCATGTTGGAACTGCAGTTTTCAACACATTTTTCTTAATGTAAGTGGAGAATTCTGGAAGTTGTATATCAATTGTGTCTAAATATCTATAACATGCATATCTCTGACCATCATAGCACAATGCTTCCTTATAGACAAGATTAATCACAAACATGTTAGCTGGCCCACATATCAAAAGAAGAGGAAGA